GGGGAAAGCTAACAAAATGAAGAAGATGCATGATAACATACCTGTTGGCGGACATTAGCTCTCTTAACAGTCTGATCAGGCACGAGACCAAATTGAATGTGTGGAAAGTGGGCCCACTGTGTCATTAACAAAAAAATAATGTGAAAATTTTGACGCAAGTAAAAACACATAGAAACCCTAGTTGTTAGCTATCAAGTTTTGATGTCGAATTAACATAGAATTAAATTCAACCCAACAATGTCTTGAATAAATGTGAATAGAACCGTAATTAACTTTGCACCAGTTTGTCGGTAAATTCCTCGTATCTAACAAGAATTTCTTGATAATTTGAGCGACACATTTTTTTATTTAGCTAAATAACATGCATTTGGACGGATTTGACCAAAATAAAGCTTGTTTTTAAAATATAATAGAATATCATACCAAAGAGAAAATGAAAAATAAAAGAAGAGGAGGAACCCTAGTCTAGATAATCAAGAGTGCAGTACTAATACATTTTTTGCAGCGGTGCTAAAAGCTTCTCTGTGGCTAATGTCAGGATTCCCTGCTTTTATGCGTTGGATCTCTTCCCTGCAGAAAATTTCAAAGACCAATATCTAGTTTCATATGACAACATAAATTCAATAAATAACTTTTAGTATTCGATATCACGTATATATTTCATTAAATAAAAGAAGAATGTCTACAAGTTTGCCTGGTAAAAGAGAAGCAGAAGCTTATGATTATTACTTGATGAATCGGTTGTAAGCAGAGGGGACTCGCTGTCTCTTCTCAGGGGCTGTACATATAAATACACATTAATACTACTAATATATATGTTAATAATAAGATGTATGTTTCTTATACCTAAGTCTTCATCATTTCAAGTACAAAAAGTGACACAAGCCCTTTGCAAAGTAAGATAGCTAACAGAAATTAACTTGTCATCCTATAGTTCCTTTCCATCTTCACAAAGGAAAGTCAATAAGCAAAACTTAGATATATATGTTTAAGAGAATTTAAGGAGGCATCCCAAAAATTGAAATCCGTCTTTCCTTAAAAACAAGGACAACAACATAGGCAGTATAATTCTACAAGTAGGATCTAAAGAGGATACTATATACGCATACCTTACCCCTAACTTATGAAGGTAGAGAGTAAATTTCTGAGATTGATTATAAAAGAAATGTATGTCTAAGGACTAATATCTCACGTCTGTTAATGACGGGTGGTCTAGGAAGATCATCAAATCCAGGTCGAGTAGGTAGGACAAAATCAGTAGAGTTACTCTGATTCATCAAGAAAGTTGGGGTTGCGTTGGTAATTTCTTCCTGCAAAGCCATTCGTTTATCAATTATAGCCAACAAATTGACAAATAAAGACCTAAAAATAGTGCTGCTTCATCAGTAATGTATAGATATACCAGAAGATTGTGGGAAGGAGAGAAGTAAGTGTGACCAAAATGATGGTTAGCTGAAGGCAAAAGCAATCCCGGCAAAAGATTAGTACAGTGGCCACATCGAACCGTCACAGTCTTGAACAAACTTGTGCACGGAACACTTACCTAAGAATCAATCACAAAAGAGAATAAAAGAATCAATTATTAAAAAACCCACAAGGATTAGAAACACAAAATCGATCATTTTCTTGCTTTGACTATGTATTACTCTCGGGAGGTTTTGGTTTTATGTCCCCTCCTTTGCGCTCTATTTTTGTTATTTAATATATAAGATAGGGTCAATGTCGAATCCTCCATCACCACAGGAGGTGAAAGCCTGGGTCGATAGCTTAATCTTTTTTAAAAAAAATCTTGCTTAATTTGACATCTTCCCCCCCCCCCCA